CTTCCCCGTGACCCAAGCTGTAAAGTCGTCGACAAAGGCCATCGCTCCTCCGTTGCTGTCAATGCGTCTCTGCACTAGATCCGCGTTGAAGAAGAGGAACAGTATCGGGGACAACGGTGACCCTTGAGGTAAGCCTGCCTGGGGTAGGATCCGAGACTCCGACGACTGCCCGTTGATCTGGATCGTTGCTGTGCGGTCAGAACAAAAAGCCGATACCCATCGAAGCAGGTCGTCCGGAATGCCTCGTGCTTTCATTCTCTGGATCAGTCTCTCCTTGCACACTCCATTGTACGCTCCTTTCACGTCAAAGCTGACGAGGCTGAGCACACGATGGCCTCGCCATGCCGTGTAGATCTGCTCTTGGAGGAGCAAGAGCGCTTGCTCGGCCGATCGTTGTTTCCTCGCTCCGAAGTGATTCGTCGGTAACAGCCCATAGAATTCGACTGCATGTGATATCCTCTCCGCCACTACCGACTCCAGGACCTTACCCAGTGTGGCCAGCAGTGAAATCGGTCGCCATGCCTTTGCCAGCGTGTAGTTGTCCTTGCCCGGTTTCTTAAGCGGTATGATCTTCGCATGTCTCCACTGGTGAGGCAACGTTCCACCTTCCAGAGATGTTCGGAAAATCGACAGCACCCATTGCTGCACGGCCGGCCATATCTGCTTCCACACCACCGCCGGAAGCCCGTCCTCGCCGGGCGCCTTCCAAGACTTTGTCGCAAACAGTTGCCGTTCCACTTCTTCCATCGTAATGGGAGGCATGTCTATGGCTGCTCTCTGCGGTCTGTCACCCTCGTCTTCAATGTCGTCTGGCAGGGCAGGGAAGAAGGTGGTAAGTAGCTCCTCCGCTTGCTCTGTGTTGTTCGTCGTCGTCGTTTTATCCGGTCTGACGAGCTGCGGCACTCTGCCGAACGCCTCCTCGTCACCTGCTTTCAAGTATCGGGCAGCCTTCCAAATATTGTCGTTGTCCGCCAGAAACTCCTTCCAGTGCTTTCTCTTTTGTTGCCGGATCGCGTCGTGGTACTGTTTTGCAGCGGCCTTTGCCTTTTCCTCTAGATTTGCCCTGGCTATCCCCGCCCGTCTCTCTGCACGGGCCCGGTTCCTCCAATACGAATAGATGCGGCGAAGCTGTGTCAAGTCGGTCGTCCACCACCGCTTCGAGTACGGCGATGGTTTGGCCTTCGGTGTCAGGGCATGAATCGCTTCCATCACCACCAACATGAGTTTGTCTGTCTTCTCCTGCACTGTTCCTTGGCAGAGTGTCGTCTCCAGTGTGCTCGTGATCCTAGCATTAATCTCCCTCCAGGGCGCGTTCTTGAAGAGTAAGCGCTCCCGTGGTGCCGGTTCAGGCATCGAAATGTCGAAAATCGTCTCAATAGCCCTATGATCCGATCCATGTTCTGTCTCATGTATCGCGCATTTGACCACTGCATTCGTCGGTTCCTCGGATGCCAGGACAAGGTCAATAGTCGACTGGTGTTCTCCTCTCTGCCACGTCTTTGTGCCACGCGGTAGCAAACTGCTTAGGCTGAACTCGTTCATGAGGTCGATAATCGCGTCCGCCTCCCCCTGTCTGACCATTGATATCTCATCTCCTCCCCAGAGCTGGTCGTGTCGGTTGAAGTCGCCAGCAATGACCACGTCCACCAATCTATCCGCCCGCTGTCTCACGTCCAACACTATCCGTCGCAGGTCGTCGCATATGCTCCGCAGAGCATGCCTTTCACCTCCTGGAACGTACACCGATGCCACTACTACCACCCGTTCTTCGAGCCGAACAACAGCCGCCGTCACGTCGGGCGACTCTACCCGTAACTGTTCCGCCTCTACCTCCTCGTTCACCCACAGCATGCTCCTAATCGCCCATCTGCCCTCCCTACACGTCGACGGGACCATCTTCGTCCACCCCTGATGCCCCATAGGAGTCGTCAGGAGGCGACCGTTGATAATCCTCGCCTGTGGCTCCTGTATGGCCAGTACCGTCGCATCCCGACTCGCTTTGTCGTTCATCAAGCTTTCATGAATCTCGCCGCGCTTCATCACATTAAGTTGGATCATTCGGAAACTTTTACTCATGACGAACGGGGAAGAGTCTCCTGCAGTTTCTGCTGAACGATTCGTGTGGTCCTCCGCACGGGACGCACTTCGGGATCGTCGCACTGCACTCCCCGAACAACCCACCCCTTCCGGGAAGCCACTCGGCCGGCCGTGGCTGTGCCTTAACGACCCCGTTAGCCTTTTGCTCCGTCTGGAGACCTTCCCACAGAAGTGTCTCGGCCCGCGGCAAAGCCGAGACGGTGCCGCCCCGTATCCGGTACGGGCCATACGGTCGCGTCGTTCGAGTTTGCACCTTAAGCCGGCCGCAACGGCAGTCCCGTCTCTGAACCGACCGACATGCGCCTCCGTCCTCTCGAGCCACCGTGTCGTCTCCGCAGGTCTCAAGTGCAGGGGCTACTGCGCCGGCGATACCACGTCTTCTTAGACGCCCCAGGTACGAACTGGGAGTGCATCAAATGTACCGGCGATACCGCGTCCAAGCGACGGCCCAGGTACGAACTGGGAACGCAGCTCCCCCGCTGCCTTCTGGTCACGACCACGGCGCTACGGCCCACCGGAAACCC